TCTTTTATTCTGTATTTCCAGCCCTTAGAAACGCATAGATGATAAATGTCTGTGTGTGTTTTATAATTTACAGGCTTATTGTGTGCTGGGTAGTGTGATAAGTGTTGTTATTATATTATCTCACATTCAGATTAGTAAACAGAGACAAGAGCCAGTGGACACCGCGGGAGCTGACAGCCGGGCAGGCCGCTCTAGGCACAGATCCAGCTTCCCTGGTGGTCCCGAGTGCCAGCGCTCTGCCCTCTGCCGGTGATTCTGGTCAGGGACGACATGCTGCAGATGCTCTCTTCCCGAAAATAACACCCAGCCTTCGCCAGAATAAAAACCATTGGAAAAGACTTCTCCGACTGCTGCGAGGAGAGAAAGGTAGTGGGGGTGGAAAGAGAAGGAAACGTGGGGAGAGTCCCAGAGAGGCTGGAGCTAGGACGACACCGGGATGGTGAGCTCCTAAGTGTTTTACAAACTGTGGGTTACAAAATCAAATTAGGAAGTTGTGACTGGCTTCAAAAAAATAAAATATGCAGAAAATATCAGAGGGAACCGGGCGTGGTGGCTCACGCCTGTAATCCTAGCATTCTGGGAGGTCGAGGCGGGTGGATTGCCTGAGCTCACCGGTTGGAGACCAGCCTGAGCAAGAGCGAGACCCCATCTCTACTAAAAATAGAAAAAACTAGCGGACTTTGTGGCGGGCACCTATAGACCCAGCTACTTGGGAGGCTGAGGCAAGAGTATCCCTTGAGCCCAAGAGTTTGAGGTTGTTGTAAACTATGACGCCACTGTATGCTACCGCGGGCAACTGAGACTGTCTCAAAAAATTAAAAAAACAAAACAAAACAGAGTGTACTGTGACATGTATAAGGGTAAATAATGTTTCTCTAACCTTTCTTCCCATTTTGTGTAGATGTGCACTGGTTCATGATGTGATCTTCCTGAGGGTCTTGGTACAAACAAAAAATGGTGAAAGCCACAGGAGAAATCATGAAAAAGTATATGGTGAGTAAAGTCCTGAATGGGAAGCAAGCAGCAGAATCAAATCTCAGAAAAGAAGGCAAGGTACCCTTTAGGGTGCCCACTGGCCATCTGAATACAGACGTCTTCCGACACCCCCCAAATGTTATAGATGTTTGAACCTCCCTGGCACCAGAAGCTCAGCCCTCCTCTGGACACCAGAGCTCAGTATTTCTCAAGCCTGTTTGGTGGGTGGACAGCTCAAGTTAGCAAGTTCTTCCTATTGGCCATTCTAGCTTCCACCAGTCTCTGAAACCCAGACTAAGAACAAGTAGGCAAATCAATGGAGACAGCTATCTTGCACCCGCTAAGCTTTCTTTCCCTCCCCACATAAATATTTGTTCTTTTCTCAAGTATCTCAGTGTCTATAGATTTCACTATTTCTGGTTGTCTTTCTAGTATTTACCATTATTGAGTATATCATGGATCAGGTATAGATACGTGTATTTGGACTTTTTGTTTCTATTCTTTCAATTCTCACAACACTGCTATGCCAAAGTTATCCTTTGTTATCCTTTTCTAGAGGCTTAGAACATTTAAACCATATACTTAAATGTACTCAGCCAGTTAGTGGCAGAATAAAATTTATCAATGGCTGGCTCAGAGATTAGGGTGCCAGCCACATATACCAAGGCTAGTGGGTTCGAACCTAGCCCGGGCCAGCTAAACAACAATGACAACTGCAACAAAAAATAGCTGGGTGTTGTGACAGGCATCTGTAGTCCTAGCTACTTGGGAGGCTGAGGTAAGAGAATCACTTAAGAAGAGTTAGAGGTTGCTGTGAGCTGTGACACCACAGCACTCTACCAATGGTGACATAGCAAGACTGTCTCAAAAAAACAAAACAAAACAAAAACAAAATTATCAATGTCTTTGTGTGATGCCTAGAACTGAACCTGATCCTCAGACTGCGCTTAGGCTGACTCAGAAATTGTATCCCGATTCTCCCTCTGGGGACAAACTTTTCTCAGACTCTTCATCTGTGACCAAGACAGAAGAGTGTTTCTAGATAGGTACTTTTTGACCTTCTTAATTAAGAAAATATAACACATATTTAAAAAGTAACAGAATAGTGAATACACTATAATTGTGCATTTTAATAACTTTCTAGACTATGAACATCTATTTAACCTTCACCCAAGACCAGAACAGAATAGTACCAGTACCCTTTAATGACTGTTGCTAGCTTCTTTCAAGTCATGGCCCCCTTCCCTCCCCAAAGGTATTTGTTATATCAAAACTGTGAACCTTGGCTCGGTGCCCATAGCACAGTGGTTATGGCACCAGCCACATGTATTAAGCCTGGTGGATTCCAACCCAGCCGGGGCCAGCTGGACAACAACAACAACTGCAACAAAAAAATAGCCAGGCATTGTGGTGGACACCTGTAGTCCCAGCTACTTGGGAAGCTTAGGCAAGAGAATCGCTTAAGCCCAAGAGTTGGAGGTTGCTGTGAGCTGTGATGCCATAGCACTCTACTGATAGTGTCATAGACACTGTCTCAAAAAAAAAAAACAAACCCAAAAAACTGAACCTTACTTCATAGTTTTACCATCTCGGTTTGCAGCTTTAAATAATATATAGTAGTTAGTCTAAACCTTTAAAAACTTTACATAAATGAAATTATATATTATTTTTGTGTCTGCCCTTTACTCAATACTTTTTTAAATTTTTTTATTCTTTTTCAGAGTACAGAATTTAGCCTATGATGTGTTTTTGTATTGAAAGAAGGGAAAGAGAAAGGAAAGAAGAGAAGGAAAGAAGAAAGGAAGAAAGGAAAGAAACTACTCAATACTTTTGAATTTTTTCTTAATTTTTATTTTATTTTATTTTTCAGAGTACAAGATCTATCCTATGATGCTTTTTGAATTGAAAGAAGGAAAGGAGGGAGAAAAGAAGGAAGGAAGGAAAAAAAGAAGGAAGAAAGCTACTCAGTATTTTATTTATTTATTTATTGATTGATTGAGAAAGAGTCTCACTTTGTCATCCTTGGTAGAGTGCTGTGGCATCATAAGTCACAGCAGTCTCAAACTCTTGCTTCAGCCTCCCAAGTAGTGGGGACTATAGGTGCCCACCACAGTGCTCAGCTATTTTTGTTATTTATTTATTTATTTATTTATTATTTTTTAGACAGAGTCTCACTTTGTTGCCTCAGCAGAGTGCCATGGCATCATAGCTCACAGCAACTGCAAACTCTCAGGCTCAAGTAATCCTCTTGCCTCAGCCTCCCAGGTAGCTGGGACTACCAGTGCCTAGCACAATGCCCAGCTATTTTTAGAAATGAGGTCTCACTCTTGCTCAGGCTATTTTTGCTTGGGCTAACATCTGCAGGCCAGAAGAGCCATGGCCTTGGAAAGGGTCATAAGTTCCACCAAGTCTCACTCTTGCTCAGGCTATTTTTTGGCTATTACATTTACAACAACATTCTTAGATATGTCTCTAGGTGCACATATGTACATGTTTCTGTGATTGCTCAAGCAATCCACTTATCTCAGCCTCCTAGAGTGCTAGGATTACAGGCATGAGCCACCAGGCCTGGCTCTTACTCAATACTTTTTTTTGAAAAGATTCATTCATTGGCTTGGTGCCTGTGGCTCAAGTGGCTAAGGCGCCAGCCATATACACCTAAGGTGGCGGGTTCGAATCCAGCCCAGGCCCACCAAACAACAATGATGGCTGCAACCAAAAAATAGCCAGATGTTGTGG